AAAAAGAAAGAAATGCTGTTTTACTTTAACTGGGAGACTGTGGTTTTGCATGAATAACTTCATGGCTTTTTCACGAAAATTTGCATCTTCCATCATGCAAGTAAACCAGAACATTGTTATTCATAGAGAGGTATTAGAAAATGAGTTTGGTACAAACAAGGATATATACCTTCATATCGTTCAACACCATCATGATTGTTGTTTTGTCATTTATGCTCTTACGGTTCAAGCACAAATTGATTATTTACAGTATTGGGTCTTGGTCTCTTCATGGTGTCTTTATTCTTTTTAATTTATTTCATGGTACTATCACATAACATCATATAAGTTTTGCTTCAAGTTGGTAAAGGATCACATTATTATATGGTTCCTTTCATCGAGGATATTTGTGGGCATTTATTTAAGTTCATTATTAATGCTCTGAGAATGTGCATTAATAGTTTGGTAGCCGAAAAAACCATTGCCGTTATCTGAAGTATATGTAGATGATTCTATGTATGAATTTTTTAAAAACATTTCAATTCCTATGAACTCCCCGAACACTACTACCTCCTTTTGCAGGGTCATGAAATTAGAAGGTTAAAAGCTATTAGAAGGCAGGATGTATTCGTTGATGAGACTGCATATGGCGGAATGACAGTCTCGGAGCTCACACATGCTCAAGAAAAAGAACTTCAGTTAGCTCAGCAGGACATCAAAATGGAAAGGACCAAAGATAAGAAAAATGCCCTTGAGGCCTATGTTTATGAAACGCGAAATAAGGTTGGCTGTTTTCCCATTTTTGTGTAGTTTGCTTTAGTAGCATAGAAGATGATGGCCATTATTTGCTCTGTAAATGAAATTGCATTTCCAACAGCTTGTGTTCATTACACATTGCACTGCATTGCTAACTGTTTACTAGAGGTAGGTGATGTAAATGTGTAAAGGCAATTGCCATTCGTTTTGTTTTGTGAATTACAATATTTCCCTATCTGCACATATGGTGTCATGTTTTCCTTTATGGAATAATAAACAAGTGATCATAGTTGATTTGACAAAAGTTTCAAGTTCTAAGGGCTAATTATACTTGAGACTTGTGTTGATCTCCGTAACCTACCCCCTTTTTACGTGTTTAACTGTCTGATCTTGGTCTATGCATTTACACTATTGGTTCAATTTTTTACCTCTGAAGATTTTGCAATTTAATGTTTTATGTTGTGATTTATGAACATTTGTGCAGCTTTTAAATTCTTACCGGAGCTTCGTCACTGATGCCGAAAAAGAAGGGATTTCAAGTAACCTGCAACAAACTGAGGAATGGCTTTATGAAGATGGAGACAACGAGTCTGAATTTGTGTATGCTGAAAAGTTAAAGGATTTGCAGAAGGTTTGTTTATCTTGTTTGTCATCTTATTGTATTCACAATTCTTCTTTTATTGATTTTGCATAAATTGTTCGCCAGATGATGGATCCAATTGAATATCGATATAAAGATGGAGAGGCCAGGGCAGTTGCAACGAGACACCTACTAAATTCTATAGTGGAGTATCGCATGGCTGCAGGTTCACTTCCCCCTGCTGAAAAAGACGCGGTACGAATTAATTTCCTTCTTTCTTATTTTAGTAACTCTTTAATTACAAAATCGTGTTCAAATGTTTCTTGAGAAAAACACTATATTATCTTTATTTATTTTTTATTTTTTATTTTTTAATATTTGAAGGTCATTGGAGAATGCAATAAAGCAGAGGAGTGGCTTCGAGAAAAAACCCAATTGCAGGATTCACTTCCCAAGAATGCCGATCCTGTACTTTGGTCTGGTGAGATCACAAGAAAAGCTCAAGCCCTTGATGAGTAAGTCTGACAGCCATGCAACAACTGCGAATATTTTCCTTCATTCAAGCGCAACGTGTATATTATTAGTTTGACTCTAGTTCTTAATTTTCGGCCTGAAACTCGCCATTGCCTTGATAGAGAGAGCTCGTTAGATATTTACCTGGAGCACTATCTTAGTTTGATCCGCTTGGAG